CGCTCCCTGCCGCGCCTGCCTCGTGTGCCTCCCCGGCTGCAGCAGCGCCGCCCATCAGCGCCACATCTGCGACTCCCACGGCGGCCTCCACATGCCGCCAGACAAGACGGGCGCCGAGTGCGAACTGCTGACGCCCCTGCTCTCTTAGTTGTCTCTGTTAGGGGCAAATACATCCATCAGGAAGTGAATGAGTTGGAATTTTGTCTCCCGGGTTGTGTTGGAGGGACCAGGCACATGGTGGCACACCGCTGGCATAGCTAGACCACGTGGGGAGGCCCTGGTTCGTGTCCCAGACCTCCGAGTGTGCTGGGCCTGCGATCTGGGCCAGGCGGCATGGGGGATGGCTCACGGCCTGAGTATCCTGTGGGGGTGACTGTCTCTCTGTCACTCCCTTCATTTCAGTCTGTCAGGATGAACTTAAAAAAAATTGCACGAAAACGAATGTGCCTAGGCCTGAAGCAGTTTCCAGTGGCGCCCTCCCCAGACCCCGAGGCTGTGGGCGGCCTGTCGCAGGCACAGCTCCCTGCTGCCTGCGGGCCAGCAGTCCTGCCGACCTCACAGTCCCCTCTGATTTCTGCCCCCAGCGGCTGGCCTTGATGTACCGGATGCAGGTGGCAAATATCGACAAATTTGAAGAGAAGCTCCGGGCAGCTGAAGATGACCTGAATATCGACGTCCGGGACAGGACCCCGGTCTCCTACAAGAGGACGGGCTTCTTCGGGAAGTACGTCCATCCTCCTGCTGGCCCACCAGGCCCGGCTGGTGGCCGGGTGTGGGGGTGTCCTGGCAGGCACCACCCTCTCGGCTCTGCCTGCGGTCCTGGGGTTGCTGCTGTGTGCTCACAAAGAGGGAGCAGACCGGGTGCTAAGCGGCACTGGTGGGTCAGAGAGCAGAGCACAGATGGGAGCCGTGGCCCTGGCCCCAGCCCGCCAGCTCCCCAGAGGGCTCCCCGGAGGGCTCCCCGGAGGGGGCGCCGTGCTCCTTGACGTTGCTGGAAGCAGAGGCTGGAGACACGCGCCGGTCCAGCCCCGGGGGCCCGGGCCCAGCGAGAGCCGTGTCAGTGAGCAGCCAACTAGCTGCTACCCGCATGTGCCACCCCGGGGACGTGCTCGGGTCCTGCTCTTGGGAGGTGGGCAGACGGCGGCGGCTCAGCATGGTGACATTGGCGGGCGTCTGAACCAGCGCCGAGCGGCCCACGTGCTTCGCTGGGCACCCTCTGGGGCCTCCCTGAAGGAGGGCCCTGAGGGCCGACAGCACAGCTGTGTCGTGACCACCTCGTCCTCGTGTTGCCTCAGCCCTGCGGGTGACTCTGCTCATATGCACAAGGTCAGAGGTCATCTTGGCTTCTCGGCCCCTCACTGCCCTCCCTCTCTCCGTCCCCAGTGCCCTCTATGCTCTAGGGATGACCGCCGTGGGCTTGGCCGTCCTGTGGTACGTGTCCCGCCTGGCCGGAATGACAGGGAGGGAAGGCGGCCTCAGTGCTTTCGTAAGTGGCGCGGCGGTCTGACCGAACTCGGCGTCGCACGTCTGTCGGCGTTGGCCGAGCTCCTGTCTCAGCGGGGCGGGCAGCCTGCACAGAGCGGCCAGCGTGTGAGCAGTGCGAGAGAGCGCTGCTGAGGGCTGTCCTCGATGCCGGGGGTGGCTGCGGCTCATTCTGTAGTTCCCGCTCCTGGCTAGTGAGTCAAGAGCTTCTTCTGGTCTTGCCTTAGGTATTTTTGCTGTATAGGAGGGGTTGCAGCGTGGCCTTGCCCGCAGGGGTTGGGGGGCTGCTCCCTCTGGTGAGCGACTCGCCCGATGGCAGCAGTCTCCCTAAGAAACTAAATAGAGGAACACCCATAGTGCACTCAGTCTCCCCTGCGTCTTGGCATTCACCTTGAAGTGCACGCTCCCTCCCGGCCTTCTGTTTCAGGTCTGGGTCTGGGAGGTGGCCCCGGCTGCAGGAACACCTGGGGCTGAGCAGGACAGGATGTGGAGTGACCTTTGCTGTCCCCGAGACTGTGCCTCGTCCCCCTCCCCAGCTGCAGATGGGCACTGCAGTGGAGCGGCAGCACAGCCCATCGCCCTGGCCCTGTCGCCCTGGCCACACCGCATACAGGGCAGGGCTGGCTGTCCCCACCGTGCTGCCACAGGTCTGCACGCACCAGCCGAGCTCTGCCTGGCCTGTGCCTAGCACACCTCCCTGCAGGCAGGGTCTGGGGGACGCTCCTGCCCAGAAGCTCCCAGTCTCCCCGCGCGTCCACCTTCCTGTGTGAGACGGTCGTGGCCCTCCCAGCAACCCAGCGTGACCAGAAAGAGGAGTTACGCGGTGGGGGCCATAGCAAGAAGTCAGGCCGTTTGTTTGCTTATATACAGGCCTCTCTCAAAAATTATTTACTTGGGCCAGCAGATGGCATAGTGGTTACGTTACTGGACTCCCACATGGCCTACCATGGTTCGAGTCCTGGACCTGGTGGCTTGAAACTCACGTTGAGTGCGTGTGCCCAAGATCCCAGGAGGAGAATGTAGGAGAAAGGATTGTGTTGTGGCCATCCTCCCTCGGGGTGATTTCTCGCTCTCTGTCTCTCTCTCTCATGTGTGCATCCTAACCAGAAACCTCTAAAAATATTAGTTACTTATTTTTTTTGAGAGTTATTTTTTGCTATAGGGTGCATACGCTCACCAGAAAAAGAAACAGAGAGACAGAAAGGGAGAAAACCACCCCCTAGGGGGATGGCCACGCCATCATCCCTTCTCCTCCATTTTCCTCTCAGGATCTTGGGCATGCACGCACACGCACCTGGTGTGAGTTTAAGCCACTGGGTCCGGTACTT